TATATACACATATATATTATAAAATATTAAAAATCCAAATATTTTTCAATCAATCATATTGGTATCAAAGTTGTGTTCTTTCAATAAAACTATTGTTTTTATACTCATGTAAATATTAATAAATTATATCTGATTAAATATATTGTAGATCGGCGATACGCGTAATATAATGACTCGGAATGGACTAGCTTTAATATGTCGCAGTTTCGAGGTCGCAGATGGATCGACGGATAATACGGTACCATTGATATTATGGGACAAGAATTGGGTGGAGAGATCCGCCTTTTGGGAACCGAAACGGACAATATTGTTCTTAGTTGATGTTCGTATCGCATACGATGAATATAAAAAGAAAACGGCGTTAAGTATTTGTATGTTGAAAATCCAGCATTTTGTTCTTTTTACTGTAATATTATACAATCTTCTAAAATATATATGTATATCATTAGATGTCGCTTACAATTATATATAGATATATCACTTATTAAAATCGTGATTTCGAAAATATTTAGATAAGGTTTAACATAATTTTAAATGAATATTCGTAGTAATATGCACATTATATATACTCTAATCAGTGCATTTTAATTCTATTATTAAAAATTGTTTTTTTTATTTTAGAATAGATCAGATTTTTTGTATCTTCTTAAAAATCTGATTCTGTGAAGTCACGCCCTGTTATTATTCAATAATTTACAGTGCTTCGTATTTGGAAAATGATAGATTATAAATATAGCGAAATCATTTGAATACTTTTGCGAATCACTGTATAAGCATATAAATAGAAAAAAATAGGTAAAAGTTTACAAAACAGCACGGATTATATTTTTTTAATATATACAAAAATTATAATATTTCAAAATCGCATATCTCAGGAATCAAAACAGATTGCCACAAAACTCAAAGCGTGTATTACACACTTAGGAATCTACTCTCTATAACATATATCAAAAGGAAAATGATCTGTATACATTTTTATAAACTTTCATCATAAATTATTATACTTTATATACTAGCGACATTGTTTTTATTGTATACAGCAAGAAGAACGCTAATTACGGAATGCCCGGACGTACCTCAAGCCGCAAGCATTATAAGTGCGATACAGCATTATGATCCTGATTCTATATGCAGCGATTCATTCACTATACCAAATCGTGAGAACGGCAATTAATTTACACCGAGTTTAATATAAATATAACTTTATAACGTATTCATATAGACAACACTCATATATCATATGAATCTTAACATATGTTCGCTACTAGCATCTAAAATTTTTAAATATCTATTTTAAAAATCATCCGCTTCATAGAAGGATCACTATATTTTAAGTTTTATAATATATATATAGTAATATAATAAATATTTTAAATTACATATAAAAAAGTGAATTGCTAAATATAAGCATGCTGAAAAATGAGTTCGTTTCTTTTCTAATTTATAGACATAGAATTTTAGAGCAATTAATTTTTGTGTAACACATTTTATTATTATTATTAATTTTTTATTAATATTGTAGCAAACACTATTACGACTGTAATGACAATACAACAAATCACGGAGAAGTTACGGAAAAAAGCGAATACGGAAGGTGAGAGATTGCAATTTGCGACAATTGTAAAAGCTTCGGTGACTGAAATGAATTTGGATGGTTCACTTAAAGATGTGATATCTGTAAAATGGTACTTTTCTGAAATTGCTTTCATAATTTAACAGTAATTAAAAAATCAACAATGCTATCACGTTTACTTGCATTTTTAGCGCTTTATGTAAAAAGATTGTCCCGGATATGAAAGATCCTTGTATGAACTTGAATTGCCCATCAGGCAACGGAATCCGGACGCCACTAAACATTGTAAAATTTAATATAAAAATCAATTTGAAGGACGACACTGGATATCTCATTGGATGCCGTCTGACTGGTGATACCGCAGAGCGAGTCATGGGATGCACAACTGATGAATTTCAGGTAATCAACTTAACCTAATGTTAACAAAACTATTGTTTCCAGCTATATTCATATAAAATATGATAATTCTTAATTTTTTATTAATCAAAAAATAGTATAATAATAGAAATAAAACTAATTAAAATTGAAGCACATGTAAAATAAGTCGAAGACTATATAATTATAATAAATATTTTACTTTTTGTATTCGTCTTAGGTTTAAAATTGCTCTAAATATGGTATAAAAAGAACAATTTTGTCATTATATTGTAGGCAATGACGGTAGAAAAGCGCGCCAAATTGAAATGGTTATATTTGTTAGAAGAATGCAACGTTCGCCTGCACATTCTCGGGCCGACATCTGCCTTCCCGTATGTTTTATATAATATTTTATCCATTCAACATTGTCTCGACGAGACATATGCAGTCGAATAAACTGCAACACTCGATATGCTTGAAAATTAAAAATTAATATATCTTCTTTAGTTGCTCCAATTTGGTACAAATAATTCGTCATAATTTGTCATAAACATTACACATTATTTATTATTATAAGTGTGGACTTTTTATTTTACGTATATAAGAGTATTATAAATATAATTTCCATTATAATTACTTCATTTAGTTTTGTTAAGAATTTTGAAATAAGTTCAGCTTTTTACGAATTCCTCTAGCCGCATTATTGCGGATAAAAATAAACTTATTATTTACTAGTTTACTTATTCAACATCGTGTTTTATACGTGATTTATTGTAAACCCTACACCCCCTTGTAAAAAAAAATTTAATTTAACAACTCAAATCTAAAGCCCGTTTCCCATAATGCAATTTTTCGTGTTGAATAGCATGCATGATTTGCTGGGTGCTGCTTTTGCGCTCTATATTGTGTAAAACTAAAGGCTGATTTATGCAGGCCGTAACTGTTAATTTATGCTGGAACCATTAAAGTTTAACACTAGGATTACAATGCTTTTGTTCATAATGCCATTATGAACAAAAGCATTGTAATCCTAGTGTTAAACTTTAACGGTTCCGGCATAAATTAACAGTTACGACCTGCATAAACCAGCCTTAAGCTGGGCGCGCTGCAGGGGGCCTATTATGCCTGGTCTACAATGAGTCGTTAGTTGTTAGTCGCTTGCGAATTGACTAACCACAGTCGATTATTTCGAGAATATTCTTGAAATAATCGACTATGATTGGTCAATTTGCTTACGACTAACGACTAATGATTCTGAGCTCTGTTACACGGCACTCCTAAAGGCCAATTTCACCAAGTCCGATTAGATTAACCGACGGTTAAAATTAGCGAGAGGCCAGAAAGCATTTTCAGGCTGTATTTCGGCCGTAAAGCGATACGCTAGAGGAACAAGGATAGCACGCGATTGTCGCTCCTTGTCTGATATTATCTCCCAACAATCGCATCCGTGTGCTCAACGTATCGGTGTTGTGCCTTCACGGACGCTACACACACGATGAAAGAGAGACAAAGACAGCGCATCATCTCTCTTTGTCAAACGATCAGTGTACTACCAAAATCGACAGTATCGAAAAGTGGATATAGCACGGACATGAACCAATCGCGGCTTCCCGCGAGAGGTCTCCACCGTCTCTCCTGCCGACCCTTAAAACCAACTCTTAAAATCTTACTCTTCACTTTGTACTGCCTACTGCCATTGTAGAATGCCCTTTACATTTGTTAACGCCTTTGTAAACATAACAGTGTAAAAGAGCACTTTTATTTAATGCCACTTCTGATCATATTATACGTAAGATTCTGATCGTATTGACCTTCATTTGAGGGCAAAAGCCATTCAAGAAAAAAGAAGACTGCCTGCGTTTTGCTGCGTTTTTCTTAATGAACGAATGAGAAATCCATAAAAAGAAGAAAGAAGAAATCTATTGAACAAGAAGTGTAACAATCTCGTTTTCCCAAAAAAATGACACTCTTTTATTATTTTTACAAGATACAAATGATAATTGGATATTATTATTTGTGTGTAAATGCTGTAAAGAATAACAGCAGTTGTCAATGTGGAAACAAGTTGAATCGTCAAGCAATTTTCAATCCTCAAGCAGGATATTGTATTGTGGATAATTCTAAATTGGATGCAATTCATATGAAAGAGGAGAAAATGAAGAAAATGTTTAAGATAAATGCTGGGACGTATTCCATAGGAACGAATAATCCAGTTTTTATAGCAGATGGAGAAGGTCCAAAACGTGAAGTAATATTAGATAGTTTTTATATAGACAAATTTGAAGTAAGTAATGAAGAGTTTGCAACTTTTGTAAGAACTACCGGATATATAACGGAAGCAGAAAGTTTTGGAGATTCCTTTGTCTTTGAAGGTCTTTTAACGCAAAATATAAAGGACAAAATCAATGAAACAGTTGTGCAAGCTCCTTGGTGGACACCTGTGAAACAAGCTTCATGGCAACATCCGGAAGGCTCTGATTCAAATATCACTTGTAAGTGTAAAAGAGAAAAATTTGAATATTTTGTTCATAGGATTCATAAAGCTGTTTTCATTAATCTGATTATAATTAGAAAATACTTAGATAGAATGGATCATCCTGTTGTTCATGTTTCCTGGCATGACGCAGTTGCTTATTGCAATTGGATAAGAAAGAGATTACCAACTGAAGCAGAATGGGAAGTTGCATGCCGTGGTGGACTTTCAGATAGATTATATCCTTGGGGAAATAAATTGATGCCGAACAATCAGCATAAGTAAATTAAATTTTTATATAAAGTTTCTATTTATACAAATATAATTTGCCATTGCATGTCATTGCATATATGCATTTTTTATTGTAATATTTCATAATGAGAATTTGTATCTTATTATTATCTTGTAGAGCCAATATTTGGCAAGGCAATTTTCCTACAGAAAACACTGAAGAAGATGGATTCAAAGGCACATCGCCGGTTACGATGTTTTTACAAAACAAATATGGTTTACATAATATTGTTGGAAATGTTTGGGAGTGGACAGCTGATTGGTGGATAACGAGGCACTCGAGCGATCGACAAACAAATCCTGTAAATAATATAATATAATAAAAATATTTATGAATGATACAATATATATAAGGATTTATATTAAATTTATTGTAATAAAGTATATATATATCATAAAGTATATATATGTATATATATATCATACATGGCTTGTATTATAATAGTTTTTATTCTTATTTTCAGTTTGGTCCATCTAGCGGTAACAATAAAATAAAAAAAGGTGGCTCTTATCTTTGTCACAACAGTTACTGCCACAGATACAGATGTGCCGCACGTAGTCAAAATACACCCGATACATCAGCTGGAAATTTAGGCTTTAGATGTGCTATATCGGCATAGGTAAATCATTTATACTAAAAATTAGAGACAGGATATGTAAAGATTGAAAATATATTATAAATACAATATTGTGTGTAAATAAGATGATATTTCTTCTATATAAAATTAGAATGAATATCACATACACACACACACACACATCTTTTAAAATTTTATTTCTTCAACAAAACATAACATTATATAAAAAAATATAAAATATAATATAGAATAAAATTAGCTATTTATTAACTAATATTTTTCGATGATATTGTTTATGAGAGATAATTGTTAAAAAAATTACCCTTTCAAAAAAAGATTTAAAAAATAGTGCTAGATCCATGCATTTGTTAAAAAAGATTGTTGTATATAAAATGCTGCTGTAATATGTATTTCCCATTTAAATGTTTTTTTCTACAAAAAATGATATCAAATTTCGCCCAATTAAGAATAAAAAATATGTGCTATAAAATTTATTAATTTTTCCTTTTTTTTTACCAATGATTTAATATTAAAAATATTTAACATGACATTAAATATATTGGAGTTTTTTTAATATATATATAACGTTTTAATATAATTTTTTTAAATTTAATATAACATTTTAATGTATTTTAATATGAAATTGTGGATCTTACAAGATATATTTTTAGAAAAAATATTTCCAAGAATATATAAAACCATGTATATATCAATAGAAATCATAACTTTAATTAAGAGTATGAAAATTGAAAAAAAAAAAAGGAACTTGGCACTGCTATGCCAATCAAAAGTAATATTTGTTATATTTAAAAAAATTATTATGTCGAAATATTATATTAGTGAACTGTGTCCTTGAGAAATGTCATTTATTTTTAAAATTCAAATCATGACCACGACCATGAACCAATGCTTCTTTGACAAAACAATTTGATTTATAAATCATTTGTCATTTTGCCAATTTCAGATTGATGAATGGTAGATTTAATAATCATGCAAAAATCTTTTCAAAAAAAAGGTAAAAAGAGGGCCGAATTCATACATCCATAGAAAAAAAGATTTTGTTGTATGTACACACAAAAAAAGGGTATTACTTTAATATATTTATTGGTTAAACCTGCTTCTTTTACAAAAGTGATGAAATCAAAAAGTTATGTCAATTAAGAATAAAAATTATGCACATGCACACTAGAATTTAAAATTTTTTGATTATATATATCTACAGGGTGTCCAGTAAAGATTGTGCCAACGCTCGTGAGCGGGAAAAGCACAGTAAACTGAACAGAAAAGTCCTGTAACATTTTTTTCTATAACGCTTAATAAAGAAGTTATTATTGAATAAAGTCTGCCAATCAGCTCCGACCTTTAGCTGCGCGCCTGGTAGAGTGCGTGAGCGCTCCGTCGCTATGGTGACGCACACTAACAGACGGGCGGCTCACTGACGTGCGTCCAGCTAAAAGTCGGCGCTGATTGACCAGACTTTACTCAATAATATCTCCTTTATTAAGCGTTATAGAAAAAAATGTTACAGGACTTTTCTGTTCAGTTTACTGTGCTCTATCCGCTCACGATCGTTGGCACAATCTTTACCGGACACCCTGTATATATCTTAAACCCGTCACCCGTCTATGCAAATCTTTTTAAATGTCTGGATAGACCCTGGGTACCGATCATATAACTTTTTCTCTAGGGCGGAAACGTGAAAATTATTAGCATTGAAATCAATGGGCGCGTTCGGCAGAGAAAGCGCTCAGTTATTGTCTTGTCAACACTCGACGTTGATTTGTTGGTTCTAAAAGTAAGAGCCAATCACGTTCGATTGCTACTGAGCGGTTTTCTCTTGAATGGCCAAATTTTTCACTTTTGCGTCCTAGGAGAAAAGTTACATGATCGATACCCAGTACCCAGAAGCTTTCAGTGGCAGTAAAGGTACCTTTACATGGCAGCGTTAAGCGTCGAGCGTCTGCGTAGAAAATTGCTCAGAATCTAATTTCAGCCTAGAATCTATCTCTTTTAAATTCTGCGCATTTTTCTGCGCAGACGCTTGACGCTTAATGCTGCCATGTAAAGGTACCTTAAGGGTGCAAACCCATGGCAGCGGAAAAGTGGCCACCCTGCTAATTTTAACCGTCGGTTAATCTAACCGGACTTTGTGAAATTGGCCCTAAGACGGGATCGTACAAAATTGTCCAACCGGTGCCAATAAAACCGTAGGAAAAGAAGCAGCAGCTATATTAGCAGTTTTGTCTAGTATGTACATACATACTAGACTATTATATAAAAGTCTGTGATTGACTTTTAACCCTACAAAGAAAAAAATTCTTAACCTCATTATACATCAAACATATTAAAAATTGTATTTTTTATAACTTATTTAACTATACGGTAAATAATCAAACATTTTTTATGATTACATAATTGTTTTTTTACTGTACATTTATTTTGTATAAAAATCTTAAATATGATTTGGATGCTAAAATAGAAAACAAAGATTAAAATATTGATTCGACTATTTCGTATTACTCATATTTATGATATTTATAATTACATATTTGAGCTTTTTGATATTGTCAATCTTTCTTAAAGTGCATACATACTTAAATACACATTAATATCTAAATTTTGAAAAAAAATGTTTAAGAAATTAATTTTGCTATTGGATATACACCTAAAATGTGTTTTAAAAAAACAAAAGCAATCGCGAGCGATTATGAATCATCAAAAGCACATTTTCAATTATTAATATTATTTTCAGCATCAAAAAACCGCTTTAAACATTTTGTAGTGAAAATATCCAGAACAAAATTGTTTAAAATTTTATGTTCTGCATATTTCAATATATTTGTTATCCTAATATTCATTTTATATATGTGTACACATGTTATTTTTTTTTAATGTTTTTCCTCATTACACGGCATATAAAATTACGAACAAAATTCTGCCTTCAATTTTGTCATGAATTATAAATACAACTATGTTTAATATTATAATATGAAATTTTTTTATTGTGTTAAAATGCTGCTAAGATCATAATTCTGAATATGCTGGATGTAATGTTATTAATATTCTTTTATATTTACAGATAATAAAATTTGTGTTATTGGTAATTTAAAAAAGAATTTCACACATTGTATTAAATCTGCAAAAAATATTATAATAAATGAAACATGAGTTGTCAAAAAGGAAATACTAGTCGATCAAGACCTCAGAAATACCAGAATCATACAGCTTTCAAAAATAATTTGTATGATAACTCTAAGAAAATAAAGTTTATTAATAGTATTGAAGTCGCGAATGTTTGTGAACGCTGCAAAAAGATAATAGAATGGAAGATCAAATATAAGAAATACAAAGCACTTAAAGGTCCAGTAAAATGCGTAAAGTGTGAACAAAAGACTGTGAAACATTCTTATCATAATATCTGCTTGCCTTGTGCCAAGCAGAATGAAATTTGCCCAAAATGTGGAAAGAAGAAAGAAATTGTAGAAGTAAAGCCTAATAGGGAAGAATTAATTAAATTGGATGAAGAATTTAAAACAATTTTAAAAACGTTGTCAGAAAGAAAACGAAGGACGTTTTTACGTTACATGAATCAACAATTGTGTATGTATTTTGTATCTACAATATAAATTTTTTTAAAAATTTTATTTTTATACATAAATAATATATATGTGCGTGTGTGTGTGTGTGTGTGTGTGTGTATATATATATATATATATATATATTGTATTTTTTGCTAAAAATAAAGCGGGTTAAAAATTACTATTATGTGTGTGCACATATAATAGTAATCTTTAACCCGCTTTATTTTTAGCAAAAAATACAAAAAATAATAATAAACAACATATATGGATTAGATACAGATATAAAAGAAGGTGATGGCAAAGACAAAAGCGAGGATAAAACAGATTCCAAAGGAAGAGAAGATTTACTAACAAAACTGAAATCATTAGCTATTATAGGAGAGGAAGATGATAACTTCGACAGTGATACTGATATTGAAAATAAAGATAATAATTTTAATAATGATATTGCTTGATTATGTAATAAAACATTTTCTAAGTATAAAAAGAGTTTTTTGAACTATAATATAAATTTTTAATCCATTTTAGTAATAAACCATTTGAAATTAATTTTTTTATGTAGAATCATCTCCTTTATGGTTGTATCACCACTTATAGGATATCCTGTACATACATCACCTTTTTTTCCATATTCATCCATTGCACTTTCTATCTTTCGCGAACAGCTTTCTAACTTTATTGCTATACAGAACATTTCAATGACATTGTTAGGATTCACACACACAAACATAAATGTACACACATATACACAGCCAAATATTTTAGTACACAATTAAATTTGAATTCTTAAGGCTCCTCACAGCAGCTATATTAAATGATGTCAAAAGCAAAAAATTACAAGAGTTTTTTTGCAAGATAGGTCAAAATAAATAAATTTTTTTTTTTATGAAACCACTCACGCATATTTGATAATATGAATTAGTAAAATACATAGAAAATTCTCTTTTTTATTCGTAAATTAATAATGAGCTGTAAATCTTAGTCAATCATTATAAGGTCCATTTTGTTGAAAATATAAGATACTGACAAGCATTTATTAATGCAGGATAAAAAATAGAGCTTTCATTTATTAATGCAGGATAAAAAACAGAACTTTCAACATATTGTACTAATTTATATTCTCGAACGTGTATGGCAACATCCAAAAAAACTTATTTATTTGGATGTATCTTGTAAAAATAACTTAAGTGATTTTTCGCTTATAACATCATAATTCAATATTCAATATTCGATGTCAATAAGGAACCAGAGGCTTTAATAAACAATGAATATATTTAATAAAATTATGAATTCAATAAATTTTGTTTGGATTTATATGATTATTATTATTATTAATATTAATTTACAAATACTTAAATATTCTTATACAATAGTGATTACTTCCCATTGCACATTTGAGAAGTTATATATAAGTAAGGAGAGAGACATATATATTTATTTTTTTATTGCCATCACGTGTGTATATGTAAATATATATATATGTATGTATGTATGTATATATATAAGCAGTTTCTTTCAAATATATATATATTTGAAAGAAACTGCTTTCTCATTCAATTGTCTCTTCTGATTCCCGAAAATTGTCTTATCATCACATTTATTCTACATTTTCTTCATTTATGCAACAACTTTCTTAGTTGCATGTAATTTCTTTAGAAAGTTTTTATTTCTCTTATTGCGACAAACATTATAGTTATTTTATAGTGTTTCGCAGAATTTTAAGATTCCAGCTTTTGAATAACCACCTATTTCTTCGCATTTATAGCGGGGTAAAAGTTATAATAGTATAGTAAATCCTTTTTCCTTTCTTTAAATAGCTTAAAAAATGTAAATTTAATTACGGCTAGATGTGTCACAGATATTTTTGATCGTTGCACATGTACTCCTTAAAATCTAATTTAATAAAAAACATGTCGCATCTTTCTTTATTTCTCTTCACGTACACATTTACTTTTTTTTAGTATGTACACAGCAAATTGGTACCATTATTTCTTGGCACTGGAGTACTTAAATTAGGCGTTTCTTTTTTAATCATTGGGCACATGAACATATCTTAAACATTAACAATACTTTGAATAAGATTTGGAAAAAGGCAAACATCAGTGAAGACATACGATTTTCTGATTGATCGATACTTCTCGTACCTCCTATACAATGCCTTTTATCAAAGTGCAAGATTAATGTTAAATGTACTTCGCTGAATATAAAATGAGGAAAGAAAGAGAACATTTTAGAAAAGCCGTTTTTTGTAGTGCACTTATGAAAAAACTTTTGGACTAATTGTAAGAAAGAGATATACACTTTAACATCAAAATATCGATAAATCAATCGACATAATTAATATTTTCTCCATTGATTTTATCTATGTGAGTGAAGTAACATTATTACAATTTAAGTAGATGTAATGTGTGTTGCCGTGTAACTCTAATTACGAACGATTATTTTGATGAAACCTGAAAAAATTTTTTGGACATAACAAATCAATGCTAATCTGTATAATGTTATTTTTTATAATTCTTAGATTTTCATAATTCTCCTATTTAAATTATGATGTAGAGCACGTGATATTATTTCCTGTGTCGATAATCTAGGAGAAAAAACCACATCTTTATAGTTATAGTATACACCTCACATTGTCTTACTATATAAAACAAAAATATTCTCGTTTCCATAACTATGATAATTATGATCATTCTTTATTTATGTATGACGTAACAAAATTTTTCTTTATATTGTAGAAATATTTTTATATTAAACAATTTTACACAAATTCTTTTTCAAGTTTTGTGGCACTGTGCGTATATAGGCTGTAATATAGGGTCTGTAATATAAAGTGTGCATATGTAGGCGCACGCGTATGTTTTGCACCTTGCAATTAGATGATAGATAGATAGATAGTACTTGAAGTAGAAAAGATCACCACTGTGATCCAATTTTGTTAGAATCTATAGATTGAGACAAAATAGAATTAGAGCATTTAGATAATTATACCTCGAGGAAATCCTTCAGTAAAGTAACNTTCCGCAATATCCATCTGATTCTCTAGATCTCCCCGATCCGTTGTTTCCGCTCGTTCAATTTTCCACGAGAGGTTCTCTATTTCTGCTTCTAATTGAGCTTGTTGATACTCAAACTATTAGTAGGATAATTCAGTGCTCAGTTTTTATCACACGCGCTTTATTTAACATTATTGTAAGATCTTACCAATTCTTTCCGCGGACTGGGTTCCATGTAATAAGCGTATGGATATGTATATTGTAAGGTGTAACGGCAACGCGCTAAGAGTGATGCCGCCTCGAACAGATGTTGCCAGTCTATCCATGTGCCACTTGCATTCATCACCTTATTATTGATCCTCATCTTGATGCCCTCTAACGTTTGTTCTTCCAATTTCAACGATTTACTATGATTCTCCCACTGACCAAACACACACACACACACACGATATAGCATATACAATAATATACTCATAAAAAATACATCTATACTAAGATTAAATAAAAAGTTCGAAAGAGAAAGCTCGTTATTATGTCAAACTTACTCGCTCATAATAGTGAAGATATTTCTTGAGAGCTTCCCTCGCTTGTGCGTGAACGCTTTCATGTGCGATGTTTGGGTTTTCTTTGTATCGTGAACACTCATAATACTCGCTACCATGTGCTTTCCAATCTCCAAGGCACATCCAGCAGAAATCATGTTTACAGTTGTAACATTGCATGTGATTACAGCCACCATTCTTCTCTATACAGATATGACATTTTGGACACTGGAAAATAATTTTACAATTAAGTATTTTCTATGACATTTTAAACCATTTGTTCGTATACTCACATCTTTGGTATGAGCACTAATGTAATTAGCTGTCTCGGAATCATCCGCACATTTTGTTAACCATTTTTTAATTGTACCGCAATCGGTAGGTGCATGATAATCCATACCACATCGGAAGCTAAAATTACAATGTTTTTATTGATATGTGATAAATTACTTAGTATAATATATCGACGTTTACCAGAATATAGTTTTGCACGATGAACACATGACTCTTTTTGCTCGTTGTTCCTTTGAACGCAGAACTATTTGGCAATTTGGACCAGGACAAAATCGAAGTTGTGGATGAGACTTGACATAATCGCAAAAGGCAAATTGTTGATATCTTTCTCTCATGTTAGGCTTAGCGAGTAAAGAAAGAACAAAGTCTTCTGGAGCTAGAACATCACAATCTTGTGCCATGCAACTTATACCTATACGAGAGAAAAAGATCAATAAACCTTGATAAAAAATACAAGCATAATGTAAGTAACAATTAAGCAATATTACTTACTGGTAGATATACCTTGAGTTATTTGTACTTCAAAATGCATACACCAACAGTCCTTGCAAAATGAATGTCCACATGTAAGTGTAGAAAACCTATCTGCAGGAGAAACCATAACACAAACTGAACACACACCACCTTTCTGACTTTTTGATCCTGGCATTTGTTCCGGGGTAGGTTTAATTTTTGAATTAATCAATAAACTGGAAGCATTGCTACGGTACTTAGTGACAATATCTTGTAACGCCCAATTGTGTGCATGTAACAATACTTTGGCTAGCGATGGCGTTATGTGAAGGCTATTACTTAACACTTCTACACTCTCATTCAAGAGTCGCTCTACCTCTTCAACTCGCAAACAGTCGCACACCGCGTACTCTGGATCTCTTCTATTTTGTTCAGGATCCACATCGTTATCCACTTCCCCACCCCATGGCTGTATATTATAATAATCTTCGTAGCCCGTATCACCACAATCGGAGTCCGAACAATCCATTTCACTATCATTTTCGCTTGACATCTGTATGGAAAATATTATGCACATTAGTCCATTGTGAAACTTGTACATTTTTTCACATAATTGAACATTAAGCTATCACTATGCTAATACTTTAAATAATTATACAAAGATAAGTATTAGATATTGACAGGGACATTTTTTAGCGTAACTTTAATGAACTGATACTATTGTAAAAATTTATCAAAAAATCATAAGGAACGATTCGATAATGCTATGAAAAAAAGATTATAAGGGAGTAATTATTCATATGGTAATGTATAACGATATTACGTTGTAATATTTATAAGAAAAACTATAGAATATATATACAACGCGTTGCCTTAAATGTATCTCTGGCATTTCGCTTGTAAGGGAAAAGCTTTTGTGGATTTGTGCATGATTTGCCCACCATTTACGTCTTTGCGAACCAGAAAGCAATCCCTCGGAAGCTTCTTTTTTTTTTCTTCGCTGAACGCGATTTTGATAAACAATGCCACAATGCAGTATAAATATGTAACGATCGCGTCGCAACAATTGCAGTGGCGACAATTCGTGGAACAGGGATCGTGTCGCAAGCGACCCACCTTTGGTCGGCTAGACCTTCCCGATTATCAAGAGTATTGCATTTACGCTCTCGTTTCGATAAGATTTGTGTGTGCGGGTGTCAAGAGGAGCTTTAAAGTCTTTTTATATATTCTTCTTTTCGCTATTGGACTTGCACCTTGCACCGGGTTAATAGTATTGGGTACGTTCGAAAATCCTACTAGTGCGGGGCTGCGGGGCTGATGATGTACTTTTGACCAATTAGAGATTTGTTCCAAATCATGAAAAGCAACATGGCTACTTCCATGATATGTCAGGTACGGTTGTACCCATAGACATAGTATATCTAGACCGAGTGTTGAGGAGTGGGGGCCGATGCCCACGTAGAAAAGGACATACTCTGTTTCGTACAGTACTATTCCCCTTCTCCTTAGACAAAATTCAACCAATGAAACGAGAATAGAATAAGAGATACGTGCCCACACATCTACTTCTCTCTTTCTAGGTCGCTCAATACAAAAGAATAATGAAATCTTGCCGCGTGCTCCGTCCAGTACTATATGTCGATGGTTGTATGTTGTATGTACATATTTTAATTCTCAGATTGAACATCTATACAATCGATTTATTGTATATGAATATTTTTATTGTATATAAAAAGAGCCACTTTTTAATTTTATTTAAGAAAACTATGTTATATAAATATATATATTCATACAAGCTTTATATTCAAGTTATAACAAAATAATGCTTTATATTAAAGTTATAACAAAATAATGTAACAGTGCAGAAACATTATTCTCGAAATGAATAAGTTGCAGCAGATATCAATTCTTTAGCTTCCAAGATCAGATTGTATGCTACTAGACATTAACTTGTGGAAAATATTAGAAAAAGAAATTTAAATAAGAGATGGAATAAGAATTAATATATATCATCCATTAATGAGCTCGGTCTTCTTTTTTAATTTTTTTCTAATTTCTACCTATAATATATTGGCACAATTTAGCCGTTAAAATCTAGAATACATCACAATATCACACATAAAAATATTTAACACAGTTACGATGCAAATAAAATTACAAATAATCATTTCTCTGATTTAGTTTATTTCTGACACTGATAAATTTGAAAATGTCTTGCATTATAACTATTCTGATATTCTCTGTATTTTTCAGTATACAATTTCGATATAACATTGCAATGTAAATACTTTTTAATTAACAGGTTGTAACAGAATATTTAGTTATGTATAAATTTTTCATGCAAAAAATCTGAAGAATAAATAATATATATCTAAGGAAAAATCTAAGGAATAAATAATGTTTGTTCAAATGTCAGAATTATTTTTTATTTATATGACCTTTATATTCAGTGTCCATTGTAATGGTCTGATTAAGAGTGTTCTTATTGCTTAATTTAAAATCTACTGGCTTATCATATCCCATTATTCGTATATAGTGAGTAGAATCATGGAAAAACTTTTGTTCTAAAAATAAAGGAATACCTTTTATAATACAACTTGTGAACATGCCAGTCACATCTGGTACTACTACATCGTCTGGCGTAAATACAAGCTGAAACATAATTTATATTATTACCCAAACGATATTATGAGGGGGGGGGGGCGGGGATTATCTCATATATAATTTTTAAATACTC